GGGAAACCTGTTACCAAGGCAGGTGCCTGTGCTACACCAGAGACCTGCTGGAGAAGAAAGTATGGGTGTGGGGCCCTTCTTTATTTCACAAACCCCCAAAATGGTCCTGTTGAGCATTTAAGTTTGAGAAATGCTGCCTTAAATCAGTGTTTCATAACCTTAGCTGTGTAGGAAGCCACCCAAGGGCCTTTTAAAAAATTACTGGTACCTACACTTTCTCTCTCTAGTCCATTTTTGGCTGGTCTGCAGTGGGACCAGAGACAGAGATCTTTTAACCTCCACGTGGGCCGTCTAATGCACAGCTAACATTGAGAATCACAGCTCTAAATTTGCATAGAAATATGGAGGGAAATAATATGTACCTTGTAAGATCATTGTAGATTAAGTAGTAGAGTGAGGCAGAGTGCCAGGCGAATGATAAAGTCCCTGACAGATGACAGCGCTCATTTTAAGAAAGACCAGAGCCACATCCCCAGGATACAAGCTATGGGGAACTGGAGGACCCAATATTGGTTCACTCAGGCTACAATTCTGGAGCTGCCCGACCAGTGCCCATTTTCATGCATGCTATTTGCTTCTCTCTGCATATAAAAATTTTACATGAGTGTGGCTATTAAAGGGACAAGCTTTGGGATTGGGAGATGGACTCTAAAACCTTGTGGCTATGTGATTTGGAACACAAGAGCTAAGATGAGGATACTTGTTTGGGAAGTTAAGTAGAATATGACCTGTAAATCACAGTACCCAGTGTGGTGTGGTTAAGTGCACCAGTGGCATGGCTTGCATTCAGTGCTTTCACTGTTTGCAAAATCATTCATGATGATAGAAGCCACATCGATCACGAATTCCTTTATTAAATCAATATTCCTTTTGTTAACAGTTTGGTGCTTAATGCGCTAGCCAGTTCTATTCTCTGAGTGGAACTTTTTAAAGATTAACCTCTCCAAGATTTTGTTTAGAATGTAGACTCTTTCTCCTTTCCTTTTAAATGAGAACGGGACTGGACTTCTGTCTTTGAGAAACACTGAGAGGCAGAGGAAGCATGTCCAGCTGTTCATTCCTCAAATGCCAACAGGTGTGGGTCAGAGCTGAAGGGGGTTGGGGGTGGCAAGGACTCAAGGTCTCCCACCTGGGTGGCAGGAACCCGGCTGCTCGGGCCATTGCCATGGCCTCTTTGGATGTGCACTAGCAGTCAGCTAGACTCAGCAGGTGGAGCCACGTGCAAACCCAGGTACTCTGAAGAGAGATGTGTCTTAACCACTAGACTACATACCCATCCCCAGGGTGCTGTTTTTATTCCACATCCTGGACCAATCTCGTGTCTTCTCTTTATGAATGAATCTGTGCTCTCTCAGAAAACACACCTCCTCAATGTAATGAAAAACTTAGACAAATTTAACTGAATTATCTTTAACTTATACTTTTATAGGAACCTCTAATATTGCCAGATCTCCAGTTAAGCTCCAATTAAGCTATCTTTGTAGTTTACTTTGAAAAACCTTGAATAATCCCCTCTTATCTTGCTCATGATACTGCTTAAAAAACGATTTCACTGTTAAGTTCAGTATACATGTTTTTCCATTTTGACAGTTATTTCAGATCCAGGGTTTTATTGTTCCTTTTTACATATCTTCTTTGATGTATTACTACTTGTTTTGCTGATTCCATATCCGTTTATAAAGAACCTTTACTTTCAAATTTTTGATCATTTTCATTTTTGGTTGAAAAGCAAAGGCACAGAGTGATCTCCCAATTCACTGGCTCACTCCCCTAATAAGTGTTCCCGAGGCCAACACAGAGGCCTTGCCAGGCTGAAGCCAGGAGCCCAGAATTCAGACCAGGCTCCCATGTGAGGCCGGGCCAGGCTGAAGCCAGGAGCCCAGAATTCAGTCCAGGCTCCCATGTGAGGCCGGGCCAGGCTGAAGCCAGGAGCCCAGAATTCAGACCAGGCTCCCATGTGAGGCCGGGCCAGGCTGAAGCCAGGAGCCCAGAATTCAGACCAGGCTCCCATGTGAGGCCGGGCCAGGCTGAAGCCAGGAGCCCAGAATTCAGACCAGGCTCCCATGTGAGGCCGGGCCAGGCTGAAGCCAGGAGCCCAGAATTCAGTCCAGGCTCCCATGTGAGGCCAGGCCAGGCTGATGCCTGCTGCATCTCGGCAGGTAACTGGAATCTGCAGCAGATTCAGGACTCCAACCCAGGCTCCTAGTGTGGAGCAAGATCCACCCAATGTGCACTCTTCAAATTTTTTTAAGGAAGTGTTTTCTTTTTAATTTCCTGAGCTTCTTAATAAAGGCATAAAAAGGCATATAAAGACAGCGTTGGCTCCTGAAATTGGCTCTCTGCTGTAAATCTCTAAAAGTAGATTATTTAGAAGGTTTGGAGAAAATGATGAGTAAAGAGGGCCAGGGTATATAGGCTCTGTGTTCAATTTCGATTTGTTCTTACTTGTAAAATGTGCCCCGGCTCTCCTGGTTTCAGAATGCTACTGCAGATTTAGGGAGTGAACCAGCAGACGAAAGGTCTACTTTTCTGCTGTTTCAATACAAATCAAAGGTGATCTGTTATGCTTGTGTTTGTATGTATGCTGTATACTTATAAAAATTTCTGCAACCTGTCATTTTAAATAAGCAGCTTACCTTGCACCTACATCTTCTCCGTGAACCTGTCAAGCTGTACATAAATGTAAAGAACTTTTTATTTTTGGCAGGTATTTGCCAGCATTACCTGGGAAAAATTTGCTTGCAAAAAAAGACTTATCTGAAAGAGAAACAGGTCCTCCATGTGCTGGTGCCCTCTCTAGATGGCCACAGCTGCCGGGACTAGGCCAGGCTGAAGCCAAGAGCTGGGAATTCCTTCTGGACGTCCCGTGGGGATGGCACAGGCTCAGCACTTGGGCCATTTGCCTCTGCTTCCCCAGGGGCATTAGCAGGGAGCTGGATCCAAAGTGAAACAGTCAAGAGGAATTGATTCTCATATGGGATGGTGGTGTGGCAGGCAAGTTTAGCCCTCTACTCCACAACACCGGCCTCAGGAACACTGATGAGGCACACGAACCATGGTACCATCTTTCTACAATTTAAATAGTGCTTTTCACAAATACCTTAAAAAAAGTCATTTGAAATTTGTATTTCAATCTTAATTTTTAAAGGATTTATTTCAGAGTCAGAGTTCTAGATCTTTTTAAAAAATTACTTGTTTATTTGAAAGTCAGAATTACATAGAAAGAGGGAGAGAAAATCTTCCATCCTCGAATTGACTCGTAAGGTGGCTACAATGCTGTGGCTAGACCAGGCCAAAGCCAGCAGCCAGAAGCTTCTTTCAGGTCTCTCACATGGGTAGGTATCAGGGTTCAAGCACTTGGGCCATTCTCTGCTCCTTGTCCCAGGCCATTAGCAGGGAGCTGAGGGGAAGTGGAGCAGCTGGAACATCAAGCCTTGCCTGTACGAGAGGCCAGCAGTGCAGGCACTGGTTTTACCTGCTGTGCTATGACACCAACACAAATGCCTTCACAGTTCACCAGTCTAGTGAAGAATTACTACCACGGTTTAAGAGTAGACAAGCAGTTATGAGAAGGCGACCAAGAGACACACAGAGTGAGCAAACTGTTGCAAACCTGCGACTTCATCAAACATCAGAGGGAATATCATAGTTAAGGTTTAGATCAGAGAAATCTAGTTAAATAATCCAGATAGTCTAAACCTGGAGGCAGTTTTTTTTTCTCTAACTGAATTTATCCTGGTCTTAACTCTTGGCCGCTCAAGTCCTGAAATGTGCTGCCTTCCTTGGCATCAAGAGTTAACCTTTCCTTCGTCTCCTGCTTTGAAGCTGGTCCATGGCGGTTCGGTACAGGAGGCTTTGAGTTACACGATGCTTATTCCAGCAGTTGATCTGAGGGCACAGCTTTTGTATAAAGGGATTTGCTGAAGTTTCTGATTTTCAGGGTGAAGTAGTGGTATTCTAAGCTACTACTAGGTTATCTACAAGCTTTCCCATCATACACTGCTAAGACTGCAAGTTCAAAGTCTGAGTTGAGGTGCTTCCATCTCCCAACTAGTGCACCATTTCCTGACTGAGGGCCGCTCCTGGCACAAAGCTCAGGGCTTCCTTTTTGGTTATACTTTCTCTTTGCTCACTGGATTATCCTTTTAGCTGTTATTTAAAAATAGTCCTAAACTGAGAAGCAGAGGAGGCCCAGAGGCCTCCCATCTGCCCTTTCACCTTCCAAAGGCCGACAGTCTGGTTTAGGTGAGGTAAAAGAAGCCCAGGCTGGAAGCCAGGAGCACAATGCGGGTCACGCACACGGGTTCAAGTCCTTGAGCCATGATGTATGTCAGCAGGAAGCTGGAACTCAAACACAGACACAGTCATACAGGCTGCAAGGAACAGCCCAACTGCCCTGTTAAACCCCTACAGTTAACTTGCTTTAAAATACCATGTATTTCTCATTCAGTTCCTTTTACAGTTTGGCCTTCCCTGAAAGGTATCCACACAGCTACGCTGGGCTACATCTGAGAATGACATTGTTCCACATGCGGTTTCACTGCGTGGCTAAGATGATAGTGCAGCCCTGTGTTTCTAACCAAATTCCTGACGTCTTACCAGTAACTTACAACACAGTCATCCTGAATCTTCTACAACTATTACATGTCAGGCACATGTCATGTTCTCAAGAAAGATTTAAATAAATGAATTCTCAGCCTTCTGTTGGAATTCACTCCTATCAAATACACATCGCAGCTTTATGTGGGTTGTTGGTATTTTTTTTAAACAGGCTAATTACAGGCTTTAGCTATACCATCTGGATTATGCATCTTTAAAATTATCATTTGTCTAAACATATGTATTGAGATTTTACTAGTTCACAAGTCACTCAATGTTGCAAGGAAAGAAATCCAGAGCTGGAGCAGATGCCACATAAACTCCTGCCTGAGAGGCGGGACGGGGTTAAAAAGCACTTCAGCACAGTAAGGTGCATACAGTTAACACTAATATACTGTATATTTAAACATGATTATGAAGGTGCATTTTATTATGTTTCTTACAATATAAGCATACTTCAAAAATTTACTGGACAGTGTTGTTTCAGAACTCTTGGAAAAATAACTCAAAGAAGTCCCCACAACCTCTCTGGACACTCAATGCTACAATTAAATCGGGAGCTAGCTACCCAAATATAGAGTTGTCATCCAACATAAATGTCTTATATACTCTGACCTCTGACTAAGTGGGCTAAATCCAAGCTTTTTCACAGAAGCTGCAAAGTCCTTTATGGCTTGGCTTATTTCCCATGGCCAGCCACGTAGCCCGTTTTTGATTCTTTGTGCAGAACGGTTTCCTCTAACTTTAAGTTTTGCAAGTGATAACATATTTGCTCCAAATACCTTCACCACTGGTTTCTTCTCTTACTTCTTGGAGACAGAAAAACTCCAGTTTCACACCCCACATGTCCTCAATGGTCAAACTGGACCAGCTTAAAGCTGGGGGTTGGGAACTCAATCCAGCTTTTCCACACGGATTGAGTTGCCATCACTTGAGCTGCCCCTTCTGCTTCCCAGGTATGCTTTAGCAGGAAGCCGGAATTTGGAGCTGGAGCAGGAATCAGACTCAGGAACTCTGACATGGACCATGGTGTCTCAACCATTTTTTGTCTCTAATTTTTTATTTGGAACGGATCAGAGGTGGAGCAGCCAGGACTCAAACCCATGCTCATGTAGGACATAGGCATCGCTTGCTATGCCACAATGCTGACTCCTCCACCCGTGTCTTAACCACTAGGCCAAATGTTGTTATTCTGGCTCTCAGTGATCCTTTGAAGTTCATTTAAAAAACTTCTTTAGGGAAACTTTCTTTAAACTGATAAAGTCTGGACCTTGCCTCTGGATCCATCCAGCCATCCATTCACACTTTCATTAAAGTTTGGCTTTTTCCTTTGTAGCGTTTAATACAATTGTATGTAATAGTGGTCTCTTTCATAGGATTCAAAATTCTAGGTAATAGGGACTGTTTCTCTTGGTAATGACCACATTATCACGGATCCAGGACCTTTTGTACTCTCTTCTCAGGCAGATCTTTTAATACAGATTCATCTTACTAGATATTCTCAAAAGGGTAGGTGGAGAAATGCAGAGTTTATGATCTTGGTGTGGGAGACAGAGGCTGATGGCCAAAGAAGTTTAGGGTTAAGTTAGTAGGGAAGCAAGGAGTGAGTGAGGAGGGAACTCTCGAGGCACTCACGTAACGAGGCTCCCCCCACGACTCTCCAGCATCCCATCCCCACCCTGAGTAAGTCATGAGACAACCATTTATTCATTGATGGAGCCATTGATGGATTTGTTCAATTAGGTAAACATCAGCTTACAAAACCAATACCAGAATGATTTCTGCAGAACTAGAATGCTGAGGAGCCGTGTCACACTTTAACTGCATTAGCTTCAGCGTGGAGATGACTGTTCCCCAAGGCAGGTCACGGAGAACCAGGAACATCCTCCAATGTGGGCAAGACAGGAAATGCACGTGCTCCTCTCGGTCTCTGCGAAGGGGGTTCCCTCTGCACAGGCCAGCACTATTTCTTTTTTGTTACTCGTTTCCCTTCTCCTTTCTTTGGCTTCCCTTTTCCACGAAGTTTCTTTAAACGCACTTGCTCCTCCTTAAAATCCTGATGCTCATCTCTGAATGAAGAAACAACAACAACCCATTAACCAGTTAGTTTGGCAAGACTGGAAAGGTGCACCAATCTGTTATGCTTCTTTTGGGTCACTGCGGCTATTATCTTTAACGTTTCCATGGTACATGTTCAGTACAGTACCGGGGGTCCCCAACAGCCAGATGAGACATACCAATCCTGAAAATACCTCCCCCTTTCACCCAGAGCAAAAGCCATAGTCCCTCCCCGAACATTCCATCCCAGACACACTCCTCATGAAGGCCTTTGTTCTGCTCTTGGCTCTGCCTTGCCAGCCCTTTCCCAGGCAGCTCACTCACCATCTCCAGGCTGTTAACTCCATCTTCCTGACGGTCCTGTTTAATCCTGTAACTGCCCTCCTTCCCCACCCTCTGTGGGCTCTACCTCTGGATCCTGCTTAGTCAGCTCTGCTTTTCCTCTGCAATACATTCAACTTAGTAATATATGTCACGTGACTTGTTCCACTATAACATTGTTTTCCTTCTCCCTTCCTGCTTCACAGGGCAGGAGGCTTTGTCCCTACTGATGATGCAACCCGAGCACCTGGCCCACAAGGGGAACCTGGGCTTCACTTTTGCAGGCCTGCATGTTTTCTTTACAGAAGGGATTGTCTAGTTTAATCCTGCCTAATGCTGCAAGGAAGCCTAGCGTTAAGAGTTGCCATTTATCATTACTACTGACTAAATACATGAACAAACTTTGTTTTTCCAAGAATAGCTCAATGCTAACTATTTTTCCCCCAATCCCTAAAGATAGCTGAGTCATTATTTCTTAAGCAAATGGAAAGCAGCAACAGACAAATTAAAACAGCAGAATGTGATTTTGTTATGGGTTATCATCTTCTACTCAGGAGATCTGCAGTTCAATATTTTATTTTGGGTCATAATAAAATTTTTATGTTCTGAGCCCAGCAAGGGAGAGAGAGAAAACCAAAGCAATTTTGGACTCTCAAAAGATCATGGATCTAATACTGTGTTTACTATAGAAATCTGTTTTGTTCACTGTTGTTCCCTGAGTGCCCACCTGAAGTGTCTGGAAGGTTAAGACATACCTGCTGGATAAATGAATAGTGATCTTAGCTGTCCAAAATGAGTATCATGTTGCATTATCAATTTATCATATTAAAATAAATGGTCCCAATTAATTTCTAAATTGTGGCCCAAAGACCAGTCCAATTAAAACATGTCAAACTTTATTAAAAGAATGTAGGTATTTTAATGTTTCACAATTAACCATTTTTTGAATTCTTTTGAAACGAGCATGTGTTAGGTAGGTAATTATTATTTTCAATAGTCACATAGCTATTTGATCTTTTTGTCTTTCTGCAGAGTCTAAGCACCTACTTCCAGTACATGCACAAACATATAAGTGCATGGCGTTAAGAGCCTGTGCAACTCACACATTATCCTCAAAGGCAAAGTGCAGCTTGTTTAGTCCAAATTAATATTTCAAATAGGATACAAAAATGCCCAAAGGGAGTGGGGGGTTAAAGAAGAATGCCAACAAAGTTCCCAGCAGCAGAGAAAAAAGGTGTCTAGACATCAACTAAGGAACAGATAAGATGTGGAGCAGGGACCCTGCTTGTCTGCTAAGAACCTGCCACCCCGGCACCCTTGGGACTCCTAGGATTTTCTTCCTCAGCAATGGACCAGCTTCTCTCTGCATCCTTTTTAGCGTGTTCTTAGACTAATGAGTAATTATAGATACTCTATAGCTCAGCACCTTCACACTTTATACATAAAATATGTTTTCCAAAAACATGCTTGTTTCTTTTGATTAGCCCATTGTGGATATATTGAAAGAATCCTTTCTTCACACACACTGAACATTTTTAAATATTATTTTATTTGTCTGAAAGTCAGATAAAGGGACTGAGGCCTCCCTTTGGTGGTTCTCTCTCCAAATGCTTGCACTGGCCAGGGTGGGATTGGACTGAAGCCAGGAGATGGGACTCAAGCTGGGTCTCCCATATAGGCAGGGACTCCAGCACCTGAGCCATCACGTGCCACCTCCCAGAGTGCATATTAGAAAGGTGGATTAGGGTGCAGAGCTGAGATCCACATCCAAGTCCTGTGATAGGGGTTCCAAGCGTCCCGAATGGTGTCTTAACCATCACGCCAAATGCCTGCTCCCTAAGCTGTATCTTATGAGCCTCCTGGGCTCTACTACAATAGTCACAAAACCATAAGAAGAGAAAGCCTAATGTTTTCCTTTTCCCAACTATATACACAAACATGTAAACCTCACAAGTCCCTCTGTGTGTGTGATCACCTGTAAAGGCCATGAAACCGGAGAATCCCCATGAGTGCGAAGTACGTGTTGTGATTGGGATACCAGTCGTAGGTTTCCTTCCTCTTGGCTAAAGGCTGTTCGCTGAACAGTTTCACCACTTTCATAGACTTGGAATCAGTGGGCCTGGCAACTTCACCAAACAGCCGGGCACTCAGACGAGTCATGCGTAAGGCATATTCTGAAAGCGAAGACATTTCTTGGGCTGCAAGGATCCCTACAAAAGAGAAGAGGAAAAATAAACAGGGGAGTGTAAAACATTCCAAGATGATCTAATAAACACTTAGGAAAACGAAAACCCAGCCCGCTGCAATGATGCGGTGCACTCGGCTGGCAGGATGTTGTTGAAGAGCCGAGAGCTATCTGCGGTGAGAAAGCCATTCCCACTGCACACAGTATTTCGAAAATTCTTTCATTTTGTGCTCACGTAGTGTTATTTCCTTGTCATTCTGCTTTTTTTTTTTTTAAACAAAGAACTCTTTTGTAATTCAATAGCTTATTTACCTATAGGAGGCTGGATGACCGGGCCAGAGAAACAAGCTATCCTACCACAGCATTATGACTGTACCTTCAGAAAACACCTACCTAAGCAACCTGTGAGATAAACATGCTGCCTGCTCGCCATCTACAGAAGTAATGATGTGCTTACCTTTGTTATCAGTCCTTTGAATTTGGCAGAGCTCCAGCTGCTCTGTGGACTGCTAATGAGTTATGAGGTCATCAGGCCTCAAGGCTGCTGCACTGAGGGCTATCTAGAGGCTAAGGAAAGACAGATCTACAGAGAGAAGGAGAGACAGAGAGAAAGATCTGCTATCTGCAGGTTCACTCCCCAAGTGACCGCATCGGCCAGAGCTGAGCCAGTCCAAAACCAATAGCCAGGAGCCTCTTTTGAGTCTCCCACATGGGTGCAAAGTCCCAAAGCTTTGGGCCATCTTCATCTGCTCTCCCAGGCCACAAGCAGGGAGCTGGATGGAAAGTGGAGCAGCTGTCATTAGAACCGGCACCCATGTGGGATCCTGGGCGTGCAAGGCAAGGACTTCAGCAACTAGGCTATTGTGGCAGGCCTAACAGCTAGCAATTTTAAGGAAATAAAACTCAACAGCTCAAAGACTCATTTTATTCCTGAATAGAAGGAACTTAACAACTGTGATAGGGCTTGTCTTTATCTTCTTATAAATGCTGCTTTAATGCAAACTGGCTAGGTTCCTATTAGCTGAAGACAGCTTTTATTTGTGAGACAGCATGTTGAAATAGATTTAAGAATGATATTTCATGTGCTAAAATTACATCTAGCACACATCACAGGTCATGCGTGGACATATACAAATCAAGAATACTGCGGGTGGGATCTCTATCCCACCCCATTCCACATCAAATGTACAATTACTGTTGGTACAACACACCAGCTTACGTGAAATCTTTGCAGTGAGAGGAGCAGCTGTTGGCTGAGATGCTGAGGGATAGTTCACTGGGATAAGAAACTGATGTCCAAATTAACTTATCTTGAAGAAACCAATGAGAGTAATCTCTCAAAATGAAACAAACCAGCAAAATCAACACACTCCAAAACAGATACATTTTAAATCAGCTCTTCCAAGAACCTTCAATTAAGGAGGGTTTAATGTCCACATCAAGATCCTTTAAAAGAGCAGAGGCTGATCTTAAGCCATGCACCAAGCCATCTCGGGCCAACAGTGCCATCTGAAGGAGAAGTAGGGGAACAGAGCTGCGTTCCCTTGGAAACTTATCACCCAGTCAGTCCACCAGCCCTTTATCACTCCCTTCTCTCCCAACTCTAGCATTGTGTGGATGCAGATGGGTTTAAGCATCAGGATTATTTTTAGTAGTGAAGAGAAAAAAAATCACGCCATTTTAAACTAGTTTTTCTATGGCCTTACAAATGTCAAAAGGTTGGGCCTGGCACGATAGCCTAGCAGCTAAAAGTCCTCACCTTGTATGTGCCAGGATCCCAAAAGGGCGCTGGTTCTGATCCCGGTGGCTCCACTTCCCATCCAGCTCCCTGTCTGTGGCCTGGGAAAGCAGCAGAGGATGGCCCAGAGCCTTGGGACTCTGCACCCACGTGGAGACCCAAAGAAGCTCCTGGCTTCGGATTGTTGCAACTCTTGTCATTGTGGCCACTTTAGGAGTGAATCATCAGAAGGAGGATCTTTCTCTCTGTCTCTCCTCCTCTCTGTATATCTGACTTTCCAATAAAAATGAAATAAATCTTTAAAAAAAAAAAAGTCTAAAGGTTATCTTTAGCAGCTTCAAAAAGATTCTGGAGAAGTTTCCTCGGAAGCTGTGAACAGACGCTTTTTGTCATTTCTGATTCCAGAACAGTCTCTTTGCTTTGCTTAATTCCCATGACAGCAACAGAGTACATTTGTACTGTAATTGCAAAGTATTTCCAGTTATTTTAAACTGGTCTGGTAACTATAATTTTGTTATAATGTTTTCAGGAAAGTGTGTCTGAGTGCCAGATCTCCTCAGGTTTACATGCAGAGGTGGCAGAGACCTGCGGCCCTGGTACGGGGATGGCTCTGTCACTTATGATTGCGGTTTTTCTCTGACTCTGAGCTTTCTTTTCTGAAAACAAACCTGACAGGAGTGCTGGAAAAATCAGTAAAGAAATTAGCATTCCGTAGATGGCAACTTATATAAAAAAACTGAAACTTTATAAGTGGCGTGGTAGTGTATTCTACATCTTTTATTCATTCTTCATTGTACTTTGAGTATACAAGCAGGAGATAATATACTCCAGTTGGACTTGTGCGTAGAATGATGGGCACTCACAGACTTATGCAGAAACATACGGGAGTGGGGACCAGTACCTTGTTAACAAAACCATCAACCCTGAGGAGAAAAGTGTCATCAAGCAGCAAGTTTGTCACCAAGGCCATCACAGGAGGCAAAAGTATCTCCCTGTCTATTTTGTAGCAAATTACTGGGAGACATCTCTCGCAAGTAATGACATTAGGACCCCACCGGAACAAGGTTCTATCACCAAAGCCCAGTCCCACAGTGTTTACAACAGAAAACGGGACTCAGCCTCTTGAAACCCACATGCCTTACCAGCAGCAAAGAGCCAGACAATGGATGCAGTAATCGCCAGCCAGAGGGCTCGGTAATCTCCCAGTCACCCACACTGCAGCCCCGGGAGGCGCGACAGCGGCTCAGTGCACCTGTCTATCTGACACAGGCAGCAAGCTTTTGTCATCTAAAAGGACCGGGCTGATGCTTCGTGCTAGCTTGAAAAAAACAAACAGAAAAACTGCAAAAGCCTCGCGTAGGACTTCTCAGGATATCAGTATACTTCCTTACAGCTTTTCAGTTTTAACTTCAAAAGAAAACAGACACAAATAGCAAGAAAATGACTACGCTGACCCTGTTAATGTCATTCTGGTAAGCGGCACATCACGACTCCCATCCCGTGGATTCCCACAGCAGTGCAGCCATTCTAAGGGGTGCAGAGGTCACCTCAAACAATCTTTAAATGTGAGCAAAAATTACAATTACGGAAAAATAACTTGACATGAAGACGTTCTGCAAAAACTAAGTACTCTAATGGACTAAATGAAACAGATTAGTTCCATCCAAGAAGAAAACTGGCATATTTTGACGCTGCGTGAAAAGACCAATTCATCTGATCTTGCTGACGACTCCGAGGCATTGAAAAGGTCAGGCTGGTTTCAGTAACTGGCTTTGCACCCCTCTTCTCTCTAACAGGTGCTTCATCTTTGCCTTTTAGGCGTCATTTTTGGAGTTCCTAACTCTTCCCCTCGGCTCTGCCCCTTACTGCAGTAGACTACCCGAACTGTGATCCAGACACGTGAAAAATCACGGCAGAGTGTGCCCTAGCGAGGAATTCACACACCTGCACCACCAGGCACACGTGCTGCCAGGGAACGGGACGCCCCCCGGACAGGGCCACCAGGTCCACGATGTCGCAGGGAGACCCTGCTGGAACTTCAGAACCGTCGCCCCAACCTCACGGCCAAACCCGCACAGCTCGGGACCCGCTTACCCGGACCTGACCTTGTCCCCCACGCGCTCCGGCGCCGGAAGGCCCGCCCACTCTCCGACCGCGCGGCAGTGGAGAAGCGGAAGCATGGCGGCTAGAGCGCACACCCGGAACCAGTGGGCTCTCCCCCTCCTGGAGGACTCCGCGGGCGCACTTGGCGCCTGCGCGGTGAGAGCAGCGACTCCTGCTGGGCGGAGGACTTTGACTTGGGGAGAGGGAGGACTGAACGGCTTTCCCGGGAGGTCCTCCCCAGCTTTGTCTCGGTGGGAACTTCTCTCGAGCTGCCCCCGGAAGCTCTAAAATAATTGCGTCGAGTTGGCCGTGCGGGGAAGCATGGAGTGCACTCCCTCGTCCCCTTTATGTATAGTTTCCTTTTTCGTTTTATGCTTTACAAGCCTGCAGTCTTCCAGGTGCATTCCATAGCTATAGCAGTCTTTCTCACCCACTTGGGAAGGCCAGTGCCCACCCAGTCCACATGCTGATCCTTCGCCTGTTCATTGGGGTTCCCTGTCAAGCGTTCCTTCCCATCCGGCTTGTTTAGGGGCGTCCTTCTGAGTTCTCTCTGTCTCCTCCATGGGCTTCGAAGCTTCCTGTAGGAGTAGAAACGAGATATTGACCTGTCTCTTCGAGCACTGAGGGGGTCTCCCTCAGCAGGTAGCAGGAACACTGCATATCCCACTCCCTACTGAACCTGCTTTCACTTGTTTGATTTCATTGCACCATGGATTGGCAGTTCGGTTAAGAAAACGCTATTTTCTGAGTGTTACTTAAGGCGCTTCATAGATACTGTCAAAAGTCACTGGAGTTGAGGCAGATCAGAGTACTGTCCTCACAGACCCTTCTTCCTGTAGAACTTGCCATTTAGTTGCGTATGACATTACATCCATCAGTACCATGAATTTACTTTGACCAAGTCCTGACATTTTGTTAATAGTAGCAACAATATAAACGTAGGTCCACTGACATGTAATCAGGGGATAATGAATGTCCTTTCTATATCTTATATCAAAAAAAAGTCCTGGGTAGCACAGCTCCTGGGGGACGTTTCATCTTGTCGTGTGTTTTCGTGTAACTGGCTTGTTTTTAGCCGATGGCTAGCAGATTATGTCAGCCAGATTTCCTTTGCGTGTTGATGCCCTTGCAAAGTTCTTGACTTGTGGCAACAACCGTTTTGTGTGTATGTGCGTAAACTGTGTTGGCTTCTTTTTGTGTATCAGCCTTATTTTTGCTCTTTCATTTGTTTCTTAGTTGTGTCATCTGTATGCTCTGTGAATCCGCATGAGTTACTGTAAGTGCTTTTTGAAGCGTAGCAGGCTGTACAGAATCCTACACACCTGGCTGTTCTGGGGAGTTGGTGCCACAGTTCTCATCAAATCAAACTAATGGGATTCCTGTTAGATTCCTGAAGCTGATGGGACACAACTTCACAAACGTGGTTTTTCTACAGCGAAGAGTTACTCTGTTGCAGTCCCAGAGGCCATAAATCAAAAAACAGAATCACCGGGGCAAAACCAGATGTGGACAGGCCCGTGTTCCCTTAGTTCTTGGACTTTTCTATCTTCTGGAAAGAAAGCATCTTGGAACTGCTGAAGTAGTGAAGGTGGGTGAGATTAATAATTACAAATACTCAGATAGTGTGATAGCTGGGATTAGCGCTATGGCATGGCAGGTTAAGCCACCGCCAAGGATGAAGGTATCCAGAATAGACTCTGGTTTGAGACTCAGTTGCTCCACTTCCAATCCAGGTCCCTGGTGATGTGCCTAGCAACGCAGTAGAAGATGGCCCAAGGGCTTGGGTTTTTGCACCTGCACGGGAGACCCAAAAAGAGCTCCAGGTTCCTGGCTTGTGCTTGGCACAGTCCCTGCCTGGGGAAAACTGCTTTCCTTGTTATGCTGGGCTGCTGAGTGACAACGAGGGGGCAGATCCTACTCTGCCAGGCACATAGAAATAAAGCCTGGGTTAGCACTGAGCCTGTATTGTTTCGAGTCCTATAACTTTGCTGTTTGCCACTGCGGCAAGATCTAGCTTATCTTCTCTGAAATACTTAATCAAATTCTAGGATGACGTAGACAAATACTTTGGTATTGATCAAATTTCATATTGTATCATGCTGCGATATTTTGTTTCTCTTTAACCAAGGTAAAATTTTTCTTTAGTTGTTTAACTGATTAATTTTTAAAAAAATAACATGCAGTTAAAATTATTTATTTACAAGAAGACAAAGAGATATCCTGTCTGCTTGTTTATGGCTAAATGCTGCGACAGATAGGGGTGGGGCAAACTAGGGCCGAGGTCCTGGAACACGATTGAAGTGCCCTGTGTGGGTAGCAGATGCTGACTCCTAGAGAGTCACCAGCCAGAGTGTGCAGAAGCAGGAAGCTGGGATCAAAGCACAGCTGGGACTCAAGCCCAGGTACTCTGATATGGGACATGGCATCCAAAGCTGTGTCGTCATCACAGGTCAGACACCTGCCCCGATAGCATATGCTTTTGTTCTTCATTACATGTATAAGGAATTTTTAAATTATTAGTTTCCATGGTAAAGTTTTACAGTTGTAGTTCTTCCTCCCTCCATCTCCTCCCCCTGCTTCCCCATTTTCTCCTGCCATTTGCCCCAGTTTATCACAGTAGTATAGTTGCTTAGTAATAGTTACAAGCTTAACGTTCTGGTCTTTAGATTTATCATGGCATGGTAGGAATAGGCAAAGGTTAAAAAAAGCTAGTCTCATACTGTAAAGGTATGTTTAAATGTTTCATTCAGAGTCCTAGTTTTATTCACAAGTTGAGATGCATGCTGCAGCGTATCTTTATTTCCCAGTGTGCTAGTCTCCATTATACAGTTCATCTGTGAGAATATATGTATACACTTGATTATCTAGACCTATTTATTTTATAGTTTGCATGAAGGCTCTCTTAGAGAGAGAACATATGGTATTTGTGTTTTGGGGACTGGCTTATTTCACTAAGCAGCAGAGTTCCAGTTGGGACCATTTTGTTGCAAATGGTAGAATTTCATTTTTTTTTAACATTCCCTTTTCCCCACATCCTTGCTGGCAGTTGTTGTTGGTAGATTGCTGTGTGTAGGCCATTCTCACTGGAGTTAGGTAGAACCTCAATGTGGTTTGTATATGCATTTTCCTGATACCTAGGGACATAAGAAATACTTTTTTTAAAAATGTATTTCATAGGAAAGTGACAGGGAAAGACATCTTTATTGGCTAGTTTATTCTGCAAGTAGCTTCATCAGCTGGGGCTGGGCCAGGTGGCATACAGGAGCTAGGAGCTTCATCTGGGAGTCCCATGTAGGTGGCAGGGCCCTGAAGTCCTTGAGCCACCTGCTGCTCTTGCAGGTGCATTAGCAGGGATCTGGATAAGAAGTACATCAGCAAGGAGGGGTGAACTGCGTGCTAATACAGGGTACTGACATCACAAACAGGGTCTCAATCCCCTGAGCCACAGTGCTGGCCCCAAATATATAGAAAATGCTTGAATAATGAATTTAAAAAATATTGATTCCAGCTATTTCAGCATTTTTATGTGGTTCTTTTTAGTCATTCCTGGAAGCTGAAAGGCAAAGTTCAATATGCATACAGACATACTTCCTAAAGAAATATATCACTTGTCATACTGTTATTCACATGTGAGATTTACTTTAGGGACACATTCTGTTTTATTATTATGAGTTAAGTAATGAGAAAAGTCATTTGGGTTTATCATTGGTTTTATGCCTTACTACAAAAATGTATAAACTTAACCTATTAGTTTTAATATAATTTTAACCTTATTTGCTTTTAATGATTGGGCTTGGGGCAGGTGTTTGTGACTTAGCAAATTACCTGAGGTGAAGTTCTGCGCCTGCTTCTCCCCCAGCTTCCTGTTCATGCACGTGGGAGGAAGTAGTTGATGGTGAGGTGCGAGACCTGCCTGGGGTTCCTGTCTCCTGGCCTTGGTGTGGCCTGACCCTGGCAGGTGGGACAGACTCAGCTAGAGGTGGCATCCATCTGCTGTTCACTGCCCAGGTGGCCGCTGGGCATCCAGGCCTGGGCCAGGAGCCAGGAGTCAGGAGCTTCTTTTGGCTCTGCCATGTGGTTGCAGGACTCATGCCCTTGGGTCATCCTTTACTACTTTCCCAGGCATACTAGCTGGGAGCTGGATTGGAAGTAGAGTAACTATAACTCAAACCAGTGCCCATATGGGATGCTAGCCTGGTAGGTGGTGTGCTATGCCACAATGCTAGCCCCCAAATATGTATTCTAATACATGTAGTTTAATAAAAAAAACAGTCTTTTTTCACTGTGAATTTGATCTAGATGATTGGATTTTATGATCAGGATAGTTTACTAATTATGTGACCAATGAGAAGCCCATTTTCTATAATCTGAACAAGCTAAAACTGTAGCTCAAAGGTTTAGTAAAATGGTATAAAGTGCTGAGATGAAAGCACTTATTTATTTTTAAAGATTTAAAGATTTATTTTATTTGAAAGGCAGATTTACAAAGAGGGGAAACAAAGAGAGAGAGAGAGAAAGAGAGAGAGAAAGAGAGAGAGAGAGAGAGAGAGACAGACGTTTCATTCACTGGTTCTTTCCCCAAATGGCCTCAGTAGCCAGAGCTGGACCAGGTTGAAGCCAGGTGGCATGGGCTCAGGCACTTGGAGCATCCTCTGTTGCTTTCCTAAGCTGTAAGCAGGGAGCAGGTTTGGAGGTGCCAGAAGTCAAAGCAGCATCTACATGGGATGCTGCCCGCACAGGTGGAGGCTTAGCCTACTATGCTTTGGTGCCAACCCATAGCTGAAAGCATTTTACCAACAATATTTTGAATCAAAATTAGCAATGCTTCTATTTTGTTAGTCTGTCTAGGGTTATTTCAGATAAAACAAAGTACTTCTAAATGAAAACAGCACATACAGATTTTGCACATCTTAGTATTTAGCCTTTTTGGTACATTTTCCACAGACTCTAATGGAGGGATAATGGATTGTTTTTAGGAGTCAAACTGAAAGCCATTTCTTGGTTTTGTTTTAAGAAA